TCCAGCTCCAACTCTTCGTTAGGAGGAAGACGCCTGCAATTTGGCGGCGTTTGACAAGCCAGCCACGAAACCCGCGAGTCGTAGGATATTTCGTCAACTGGAATTTGTGCACCACTATCAGTGCCACTGTTCTTTACGAGTCCTATTGGCTTTTCTGGGACAGGGGTTAGGCTCACTAGGAACAGCCAGAACCGGAGACTTCATCATGTTACGATCCAACCAGAGTTATGTAAGCTAGCTAGATAGACGGACCAATCAGATTGGACCCGAAGGCCCGAAGGCTTCGGGTCCCCGGGTCCGTATCGGAGGACCCGAAAGGCTCGGGTCCACGGGTCCGGTATGTCGGGTCCAGGAAGGCCGGTATAAAAGAAGGCCTTCCCAGGCCTCTTGTTACCGGATCTCTAGCAAGCAATAGCTATCACAATCTACCAGTACCTTTCGGCTACTACTCCGTTACTCTATTGTTCTATCCCAGCGATAATACTCCTGTGCTTGTAACGGTTCGTCACACATCACTGGCGCCAAGCCTGATGCATTGATTCCGTCTTGAGGTGGTCGCCGAAACCTGCGACCCGTGCACGATGATCAACGACAAACGTCCCGCACTTACGGGGCACTCACGTTGGAACTTCGTCCCAGTACCTAGGGCCTATTGATACCAGCGGCATTATGACAAGCGTATTGGAGTGCTTCCCTGTCAAAATGGTGCATGCATAAAGTAGATAAATCAGTTTATTTTATTTGAATACCATACGTATTCTTTTGTATCCTAACACACTAAGAAATCAAAAAGGATCTAGTAGTCCTTAGGGGTTCAAGTTATGGAAGATGGGTAGAATAGAACCTGAAAATTGAATCCATCGAATTAGCCAAGATGTTCGTCGTCGATGTTTGGGTCTTCCAAAAATATAATATAATCCCCCTAGTTATTGGATAGTGTCCTAGTTCTTGAGCGGTAACTTGTCACTGGTTTTTTCAGTATTCACTTTGTACTTAGTTTTGGTCTTTTGCCTCTGTTGTTTTTTGGGGAGCTGTTTCGGAGCTACCTTACTCTTATTTTCTTTGTATGTGGGTTGGCTGTATAATTTCTTCTAAATTTTTTTTATTCGGTATTTGCATCTGGGCTGAGCAGAAAAGGTGAGAAGAGGACCGTTTCTGTTTCTCGTGGGATGTAGTAACCGGGCCGGGATTAACCCAGTTGAAACTCTCGATCATCTCAGCATATCAATATGGTCACCTTGAGACGTTCTTCTTCAGCCTGCCCTGCCTGGTGGCGCTGCTGGATTCCACACACTACCAGGAGCCGCACCACCCAGTCTGTCTCAGAAGCAATGGGTACACCCCTACGAGGAGGTCACACGACCTCTAATCTACATAAACCCTACCCAAGATATGATCGAGGATGCGTTTGGGCCTGAAGACGATTTCGACCGTCATCTCCTAGACATGGACGTGAACCCTTTGAATGGCACTGCGGAATATTTCCAGACCGAGGGTGACACCGTCAGGGCTTTCTACACCCATGTCTCACATCCCATCCAGCTCGCCTTCCAAACCAACCATGGGTCATTCATAGTCCAACGGTCAGAATCAGGACCTCTTGGCCCAACTCAAGTCCCGCAGACCATTGACTTCACATGGGGGTGCGGGGAGCACTGCCTCATGATAGAAGAACTTAACGGCATGGGATAATTGATCTCAAACGGTGGACAGGCGAGCGTTCACCTGATGGCAATCGTATTCGGCTAGGAAAGGAGTTGAGAGCGTAAGTAATTGTCTCCCAATGGTTGCTGCTTGCTGACAGATATCATACAGATACTGCCATAAATACAAATGCTTCGCTGCCTCGGCATTTATCGGCCAGCATCTCCTGATCCTCGTCTTTCACGCCCAAACTGTACAGCAAATCCGAGAGCAAGACTGCGAAGTCACGGGCCTTCTTTTCTCAACAAACTGGCCAACATTGCGATATGGCCTCTTCCGGGCAGTGACCTATCAGATTCGGAGAATGCAAGCTGCCACACCCCCGGCAGTGACCTTGGATGGCTATATGCGCATGTACAGATGGTGGTCATGGGCTCCTTATTGGGTTGATGGAAATAATGAACACGAAGTACACCCTAACGGATACAAACGGCTCTTTTTGATGGGTGCATGGTACTGGGCGGATGCGCAGGAAAACCCTATTTTGTACCAGGATGGTCAATGGGTTTGGGATACCGTCAAGCTCGGGTAGTAACAGCTACTGCTTTCAACTGGTTTACGTGTTTGGAAATGTGGATCCCACTCGTTTGCTTGTGCTACCTCCCTCTCGGGCCTCTCTATATAAACCTTGAGCTAATCCCATCTCAGTTTTACTCCGTTCTTACTCTAGTACACTCATCACTTAATCCTAACACTGTCCGGTGCTGGAAGATGGATGACGATGATACTTCCGAGATCAAGGTATATATAACTTCCAAACCCCTGTTCATTGATTGCCCTTAATGATTCGAGTTTTGTAGGACATACAGTTCGGCTTCCGACGTTTTCAAGCCCCTGCAACACGAATCTTCGCAAAGCGGTCTGTCTTTCTCTTGCATGTCCCGCCGAGTCCAATTGCTTGCTGGTTGCTGTCCTGGATGCCACAGCTCGTTAGCTCCTTGCTACAGCGATTGCTGCCAGAGTGGTTCTTGCCGACAACTGTCATTCTGAAGGAGCGAAATCCCGCCAAGGCAGATAGCTACGAAAACGAATTAGCGGCATACGAGCACCTTCAACAGCTCCAGGGCCACTGCATCCCACGCTTGTTTGGCCAGGCCGCCATCCACGACGACAGGCAGACAAGATACCAGATGAGCAAGCTGCCGATTCCTGGTATGCTTCTGGAAAAGGTCGAAGGAGTGCCGTTGCACAATCTTCCTGCTGAGGAGCTGGGGGATCGCCTTCTCGAACAGCTCCAGGAGACGTACAGACTCCTTACAGAGGAGGGCGTTGTTCATGGGGACCCAAACCTTCACAACTTTGTACGTGTCAACAACGAGAGGACGGTTGCTATCGACTTTGAGTTTTCCTACCCTCTTCCTAGTGATGTAAGGAATGAACACGACTTCGAGACCTTGAAAGACGAGATTGAACGGCAAAGGAAGACGGCAGAGGGGCGGTAATCGGTCTGTTCGGCTCTATCGGAGCTTGGTTGAACGAGGAGTTTCAAAGGCGACATCCCATCTGCAAAAA